TTTATCCTGCAGTAAGGATTCATTTAGTCTCCAATTCCCTTTACCTTTAAACTGAAACTTGTCGTACAACTCCAGGGTCACTGGGCTATGGTCCGACCACGTTATGTCTCCCATAACACACCCTGAGGTCTGCGCCAGTGTGGACTGATCCACATAGAAGGTGTCTGTGGCGAAACCGACCTCGCCACGTGTCCTTGGAGGGGGCTGCTTGCCCGCCTCTTGCCTTTGGACTATGGCCCTGCAGGTTAAACTGTTTATTTTCCCTGCAGAAAGGCTTATTCGTGTGATCTGAGTGCCATTCATCTAATAATGTGCAGTCAGATCCAAGCTATCTGGGGATATGTAGAAATGTGTGTTTTATGTACTAAATGTGTCAGTATGTAATTTTATGTCTTTTACTGTCTTTTTGTCTGCCATGTGGGTAATGGAGTTTGGCTCTGTCTTTGGAGATAATTAGATTCCTTCTCCAATTATCTCCAGGGCAGAAGGGAGGAAGCCAGGATGCATTGTGGGGATGTTTTACTTTTACTGTTTGAGCCAGGGGGAACAAAAGATACTTTTACTAACTTTTGAACCCCTGGTCTGATTCATGCCATTTTTTAATATGTTGTTCCCCTGAATGGATTGATTGTGAATATGTATTTTTATGCGAATGTGATGTATATTTTGGGAGTTATGAATGTTGTGTAAAAACTGTATTTTCCCTACCTATGATAATTGTATTTTCCTGTGTGTACAGATAATTAGTTTACAGGTAGAGGGGAGGGCTATGTGTGGGATGTAACTATTGTGTGATTGGTTAATGTACGTTACTGTGTGTGTCCCTCCCCTTCATGGGAGCACCTAATAAAAAGGGCTGCAAGCTAGCAGCCAGAGAGTTCTATTTTTACCCTCAACTTGAGTCCTGTCTCTTATTGGGGGAATCTGCTACAAGGGATTGCTATGCTAGGCATATTCCCTTGCTATAATCACTGAGCTCTTGTAAGAGCTTGTTCCTGCTTCGTTCTGAAGGGAGATAGCTGCAGCCTGCGGTGCTTATGGTGTCTGGTGGAGTGCTTGGAGTCCTCTGGAAGCGCTAGGAGCATCTTTCAACGGAGGTACCCAGTCGGGGTGCCAGGTGATCCGTTACATTGGTGGCAAGCGGCGGGATGGCATCCTAGTGCGAGGAGAAGCAGCTCGGAGACACCGGTAACGTGTGGAGTTGTGCAGCGTCCTTATCTTCAGCAACATAATGGAACCAGCAGTGGCTACAGCAAGCATGGCGTATAGCTACTCCGTACTAGAGTTTGGCACGATGGTAGGGTTGCACCTGAAGTTTTACGGACCCAATCCAGAGGAGAAATACGTGCGGTTCGTGTGGGACATGGTGACCCGGAACCTACAACACAGGGCGTTGAGGGAAGGCCAGTGGGCACGTTGGGAGAAACTCCAGCCACAGGTAGAGTGGGACGAGGAAGAAACCGAGGTGGCCGGTGGAGATGGGACCGAGGTCTCTCTACCGGCCCTACAGGGATGCTGGGCACCCGGCCCAGATCCCCAGCGGCAGTATGTTTTACAGGGAGGGGAGACAGTCGGTCTCACTCCCCAGCGGCAGAATGTGTTATTGGAGGAAGAGACAACCGGTCTCCCTCCCCAACAGCAACCAGAGGTACCCGAGGTAGAGGACCTCATAGAGTGGTCCTGGGAGGACCCCCTGCAGGCAGGTGGAGATGGGACCGAGATCTCTCCACCGGCCCTACAGGGATGCTGGGCAACCGGCCCAGATCCCCAACTAGAGCTGGAGTTACAGAAAGTGGAGAGCATCGACCTCCCCCCCCAGCAGCAGCCGGAGTACCAGGGGGAGGTAAGTGATATTTCTCCTCCCCAGCCAACTCCTTTGTTCCCTGACCCCCCAGCAGAAGAGCTGGCAACTGGGCAGAGCGCCGCTGGCCTCTGTCCTCCCTTGTTTCCTTCCCCTGAGCCTGACTTTCTACAGGCTGCCCCAGCGGAAGGTGCCGTCCTTCCTCCCCAGCGGCAGTGCGTACCCCAGGGAGCTGATGGTGTCGTCCTTCCTCCCCAGCGGCAGTGTGTACCCCAGGGAGCTGAGGGTGCAATCCTTCCTCTCCAGCGACAGTGTGTACCCCAGGGAGCTGAAGGTGTCGTCCTTCCTCCCCAGCGGCAGTGTGTCCTGCAGGGAGCAGAGACCGTCAGTCTCACACCCCAGCAGCAGGACAAAATAATGAAAGGGGAGACAGCTGGTCCGCCTCTCCACCAGCAGAGAGAGTGTCAGGGAGAGGAGCCTGTTAACCCCTCTCCCCAGCGGCAGTTGACAGTCCAGAGAGAGGAGCTTGTTACACCCTCTCTCCAGCGGCAGCCTAACCCACCAAGGGGAGATGTTGAGCCCCGCAACTGTGCAGATGGGACCGTAGTCTCTGTGCTTACAGCCCAAGGGGTAGAGACGGTCGGTCCTGTTCCCCAGCCCCAGAGCTGTGTACCCAGAGGGGAGACGGTCGGTCTCCCCCTCCCACAACCAGGCTCCAATCAGGCTACTTCGGTGGTAGCGCTGGCACCAGGGCAGAGTACCGCTGGTCTCTGCCCACTCAGCAACCCACCAAGGCAGTCTACCAGCTCCCCACACAGCCGTGGTGAGGCACCTGGACATGGACAAGTTGCTACTTTATCCAGGTGGAGTAAACATTTATTGTGGGTGGGCTGTACTGCTGTTTGTGCTTCGTGGGTGGGTTGCTGGACTAACCAGGGCACTGACCGGCAGGAGGTCAGATACCCTGTTAGTCTGGGGGGCAAAGGGGAGAAGTGTGGCAAAACCGACCTCGCCACGTGTCCTTGGAGGGGGCTGCTTGCCCGCCTCTTGCCTTTGGACTATGGCCCTGCAGGTTAAACTGTTTATTTTCCCTGCAGAAAGGCTTATTCGTGTGATCTGAGTGCCATTCATCTAATAATGTGCAGTCAGATCCAAGCTATCTGGGGATATGTAGAAATGTGTGTTTTATGTACTAAATGTGTCAGTATGTAATTTTATGTCTTTTACTGTCTTTTTGTCTGCCATGTGGGTAATGGAGTTTGGCTCTGTCTTTGGAGATAATTAGATTCCTTCTCCAATTATCTCCAGGGCAGAAGGGAGGAAGCCAGGATGCATTGTGGGGATGTTTTACTTTTACTGTTTGAGCCAGGGGGAACAAAAGATACTTTTACTAACTTTTGAACCCCTGGTCTGATTCATGCCATTTTTTAATATGTTGTTCCCCTGAATGGATTGATTGTGAATATGTATTTTTATGCGAATGTGATGTATATTTTGGGAGTTATGAATGTTGTGTAAAAACTGTATTTTCCCTACCTATGATAATTGTATTTTCCTGTGTGTACAGATAATTAGTTTACAGGTAGAGGGGAGGGCTATGTGTGGGATGTAACTATTGTGTGATTGGTTAATGTACGTTACTGTGTGTGTCCCTCCCCTTCATGGGAGCACCTAATAAAAAGGGCTGCAAGCTAGCAGCCAGAGAGTTCTATTTTTACCCTCAACTTGAGTCCTGTCTCTTATTGGGGGAATCTGCTACAAGGGATTGCTATGCTAGGCATATTCCCTTGCTATAATCACTGAGCTCTTGTAAGAGCTTGTTCCTGCTTCGTTCTGAAGGGAGATAGCTGCAGCCTGCGGTGCTTATGGTGTCTGGTGGAGTGCTTGGAGTCCTCTGGAAGCGCTAGGAGCATCTTTCAACGGAGGTACCCAGTCGGGGTGCCAGGTGATCCGTTACAGTGTCAATGCGAGTATACGTGTTGTGTACCTTAGAGTGAAATGAGTAATCCCGTTCGTTAGGGTGAAGTACTCTCCAACTATCGTATAGATTATGTAGTAAAAGTATTTTGGACAGTTTCTTGCTCGTGGAAACTAAGCTCGCTCGCCTAGGCCCCTTCAGGGTAGCGGTTGAGTCAATGTCCGGAGACGTCATGAAGTTAAAGTCTCCACACATCACCAATCCTCCCTGCCTCAGTTTATCTATTTCATTAAGTATGTGTCTTAGGAACCTCTCCGCTCCAGTGTTGGGGAAATATACAGAGGACAACGTGTATTGAACATTATTGAATAAGCCCACAAGAACGATATACCTTCCCTGGGTATCTATGGAAATTGCTTGCTCCTGGAACGCTATGTCTTTGTGTATGAGGATGGAAACTCCTTTTGACTTGTTGTCTGAGAGGGCATGGTACTGTGTGGGATACAGTTTGGTGAAAATTGAAGGGGTTCGAGGTTTCATGAAGTGCGTTTCCTGAACACACGCTATATCTATCTCACTTTTCTTAAGATCCTGCAGTAGTAGCCTGCGTTTCCCCGGGGAGTTTAGACCTTTTACATTGTATGTTAAAATTTTTACCATTGTGAAGTAGGTAAATTAGGGGCACTTTTAGACCTGGTCATTGGTACCAGAGGAGTTGTAAAAACAGTGACGTGCTCCAGCAGTACGCATCTGCTATATCGTTTTTTTGAGCTGTATGGATCGTGACTAGGGGGAGCTGGTGTGGGGTGGGGCGAAGGGTGAGTAAGTGGGCAGGGTGGGTTGGGGAGAACTGGTGGGTGACACACCCAACTCGGCTCCAAGATGTGGGGCCGTGTGACCTTACTTATTGAGTAAGTACGACTGGTGGGGGTAGTGGTGATGAAGTGTCTACTCATAGTGAACTATCACCATGAAACCAGAGGGGCAGTCTTACGCTTATTTATACTATCAGTAAGTCATAAAGAATAATCACAAAATTTCGAAGTAGCTTATCAACTAACTAATTCCAGCCACTTTACACAGTATCATTCTACAGTTTGTCGACATTTGTGCTCGTGTCCCCGTGAGAGGACTATTAAAGGCTTGGTGGGCAGCGTCATACTCTAGCCAGCAATCCTTGCTGCTTAGTCTAAGGAAACCATTCCGTACCCGCTACATTTATGCGGTAAACTTAACTATCTCTAATATAACTAATAACATAACATCAAGATTATATAGGGCATATTTAGTTACGTATATCACCGGAGGTTACCAGTCTTTTCATTTGACAGTCCACTCTGGTGACTTCCTTGGCATCGCTGTTGTCTTAGCTGGTTCTGGTGTCGGCGTAGGGAACCCCCAGTCACCCATTTTCTGGATACCTTGCTTCATGTTGGTAATAGAATGTATCGCTCCTTGATGGGAGATCAAAAGCTTAGCAGGGAATCCCCATCGGTAGCTCAGGTTGTGCTCGCGTAGGATGGAGGTGATCGGCGACATTGACTTCCTGAACTGCAGTGTATCCGCTGACAGGTCCGCGAAGATTTTAACGGTGCTGTATTCTTTCGGCATGCCCGAATTCCTGCTAACTCGCATGAGCTTGTCTTTTGCGTGGAAGAAATGTATCCTGGCAATTACATCTCTCTCAGCCGTTTGCGGCAGGTGTTTCGGCCTGCGTAGCCTGTGTGCTCTGTCTATAATCAGTTGGTCCGGATGGATTTCTGGGACCAGGCACTGGAACATGTCTGACAAGTAATTGTGCAGTTCGTCATTAGTAACGGTTTCCGGGATTCCCCTGAACCGGAGATTGTTTCTCCTCGCCCTGTCTTCTATGTCAGCCAGTTTTAGCCTGTGCGCTTCCAGACTTACTTCAAATTCCTGGAGTTTATCTGCCAAGCTATTGTGAGCCTCCGCGTATTCGTCCATCTTGGACTCCATTTGAGCTGTGCGAGTCCCAATATCTTGTATATCCTTCTGTAAGTCTGCTGTCATAGCTTGTATTTGCAGCTGCATATTTTTCTGTATGGTGTCTGAGAATTCTGACATTAGTGAACGCATTCCCCTCACTGTGAGTGGTAGATCTTCTGCGCTCTGTGTGGGAGATGAGCGAGGTGAGAGGGAGTGTTCCTGCGGTCCCGGGTCGCCGCCATCTTGTACAGGCTCTTCTCCCTCATGCTGTTTGGAGGCCGCGATTTTCGCGCCGAAAAAGGAGGCTCGTTCCGCTTTCCCCGTTTTGGATTTGGGTCTGTGGGCCATTGCGCACTTAAGCCCCCGGTAATTGGTGTAAATGTTGCTCGGTATACCGCTTATTTATTGCCCGCTCTGGTTTCTATGCAGGGAGCTGCTCCTACATGCGACCGCTCAGCTCCGGCGGCAAGCCACGCCCCCCGGCTTTTTAAATTTTAATTAGTATTTGTGTATAAATAGTCAATGAGCTTGTTAGCTATCACGTGGATGCACTGAGCAAGCTAGATACTGGGCCATGGGGAGCAGAAAAGAACCATCAAAAGACCTGTGTAACATGGTAATCGAACTTTATAAACATGGAAAATTATATAAAAAGATATCAAAAGCCTTGAAAATGCCAGTCAGTACTGTTCGATCACTTATTAAAAAGCGGAAAATTCGGGGATATCTTGATACCAAGCCAAGGTCAGGTATACCATGAAAGAAGAATTGTTCAGGATACAAAGAAAACCCCACAGGTAACCTCAGAAGAAATACAGGATACTCTGGAAAAATACAGTGTGGTTGTTTCAAGAAGCACAATACAACGATACTTGAACAAAAATGAGCTGCATGGTAGAGTTGCCAGAAAGAAGCCTTTACTGCGCCAATCAGGGGCGGACTGACCACTCAGAGATCTCCACAGCCAGAAGGAAGTTTGCAGGGGCCATGATGAGACAGGGGCCCCCAGCGACCTGTCATCCTGCAATTCCACTCCCCCATTCAGAGTGAGACCTGGCAGCATACCTCCTTTCACTGCCAGGACTCCTCTCTCTCCCTGCAATCAGTAGACACTGCTTCATGTGAGGATGGGAGGGGGCAGGAAGTGACATCACACGGAGCACTCACCGCATGCATAGAGGTGAGAACAAGAGCCTGGCACAGCAGATTGCTCCCAAACTCAGTCTGGTACAGGTAAGAAGGCCAGGGGTGAAAAGGGCTAATATATATGTGGGTTGAAGGTGTGAGACAGGCACACAGGGGGGGTTGTAGAGATGTGGGCTAGATGTGCTTTTTTTGTTCATGAATTTATTTACTACATATTTTTGTTGGTTCTCTTTTTGTTTTTATTTCTTGATGTTTGTCTAATTTTTGTAGTTTTATCTTCAATTGGGAACCCATGAGATTTCCACTTATTAGGGGATTTTTTTTTTTATTTTTTATCATTTAAAGTGTCATTACCTGATATGGCTTGCCTGCTTACAGATTTTTTTATACAGTCCATTATATATTACTTTTGCTTTTTAAGTGAATTCCCTATGCTTATGAATATGTAAATGTGTAATTATGTTTTATATGATATATATATAAAAAATAAATAAAATAAATTAATAGGAGGGGTTAAAAAATTTAATATAAACTATAGTGCCAGGAATACAAATGTGTATTTCTGACACTATAGTTTTGAAAGAATAGTTTAGGTGATCAGCCCCCCTATCGGAGAAGTAAAAGGTGTTTTACTCATCTTTATTCCAGTGCCGCGCTGGTCTCATTGCAGCTGGCTCCACCCAGCCCGCTTTCTTGACTGAGATCATCAAATTTGGTGATCTAAGCCAGGGCTCGACAAATCCCAGGTCACCACAACGACTAGAAATTTTGCCCTGGTGTAGCGGATGGCACCAGGCGACCCTACAAATATACTGTATAAACATGCATTCGTGTATCTGCTGTATTTTCTAGGTATTAAAAAGAATTGTATTCCTCTGATTGTTCGGTGGTTTCATTCCCTTAGTTTATTCGAATGAAACTACCGAACAACCAGACCTCCCCTGTGTGAAGTGTGTCCTCAATTAACCGTTGCAACATTGTTGCGAACGGGTAATTGAACAGTAAGTAGCCGTCCTTTGTTCTCGGGGGTGGCAGCCATTCGACAAACGAACACGTGGAGGCGGCCATTTTAAAACTCCCGAACAGCGGTGTTTTGCCGTCGAGTGTCTGGAACTAAAATCGGACACTCGAGTAGGCGAACACCGCTGAGACCTCCACAGCCCTGGTCCGTTCGGTTCCAAACTACCGAACGGCCCCTCGTTCGGTAGATAGAAAATACCGAACGAGGGGATTCAGGCGAACCCTCCCTAGCCTCTATAGCTAGAGGCTTTTGTGTATTTTGTTCCCTTATGCCAGGACCGACCGCAGGGCCCATTCGCATGGAACCTTATTCGGCTATATCAGTTAGTGCGGTCGGTCATTTTATTCCCTCCGTACATTTCCCGAACCCCTGGTCTGATCTGGGTGATTTTTGGATATGTTGTTCACCCAGATCAGGGGTATCCGGGGATGTAGGATTTAGAGAGGTACCCCTACGTTTAGGGGTACATCCAGAAACGGGGGGAATTGGTGTGCTGGATAAGGGGATTATGATGCTGGCTGAGGGGAGGAGATGGGTGGGAGGTTACCAGGACAGGATTGGCTACTGTAATAATTACTGTAAATCCCTCCCTTGCATGGGAACATGCTTTATAAGGAGACTGTGATTAAAGGCTTGTCAGTTATGCTCCTGAAACTGTGTGTCGTCCAGTTATTGGGATTGCTGTTGGGATATTGCTGTATTTTACCTGCTGGAAACCTTGCCTGTGGATTTATTATTTACTTGTTCCTGAGTCCCACTTGGATTATAAGCGGAGATAACCGGGTAATATTGCATCTCCGCTACACTGGCTAATCAGCATCTCCTCATAGAGATGCATTAAATCACTGCCACTCAATTGGAAGTGTTTAAGTCTCCATGCAGTGGAGATGTTGAACATCAGTGCCTCCCACTAGTGGTGTTCCTAGGCAGTAATGTACAGTTGCAAGAAAAAGTATGTGAACCCTTTGGAATGATATGGATTTCTGCACAAATTGGTCATAAAATGTGATCTGATCATCATCTAAGTCACAACAATAGACAATCACAGTCTGCTTAAACTAATAACACACAAAGAATGAAATGTTGCCATGTTTTTATTGAACACACCATGTAAACATTCACAGGTGGAAAAATTATGTGAACCCTTGGATTTAATAACTGGTTGAGCCTCCTTTGGCAGCAATAACGTCAACCAAACGTTTCCTGTAGTTGCAGATCAGACGTGCACAACGGTCAGGAGTAATTCTTGACCATTCCTCTTTACAGAACTGTTTCAGTTCAGCAATATTCTTGGGATGTCTGGTGTGAATCGCTTTCTTGGGTCATGCAACAGCATCTCAATCGGGTTGAGGTCAGGACTCTGACTGGTCCACTTCAGAAGGCGTATTTTCTTCTGTTTAAGCCATTCTGTTGTTGATTTACTTCTATGCTTTGGGTCATTGTCCTGTTGCAACACCCATCTTCTGTTGAGCTTCAGTTGGTAGACAGATGGCCTTAAGTTCTCCTGCAAAATGTCTTGATAAACTTGGGAATTCATTTTTCCTTCGATGATAGCAATCCGTCCAGGCCCTGACGCAGCAAAGCAGCCCCAAACCATGATGCCCCCACCACCATACTTCACAGTTGGGATGAGGTTTTGATGTTGGTGTGCTGTGCCTTTTTTTCGCCACACATAGTGTTGTGTGTTTCTTCCAAACAACTCAACTTTGGTTTCATCTGTCCACAGAATATTTTGCCAGTATTGCTGTGGAACATCCAGGTGCTCTTGTGCAAACTGTAAACGTGCAGCAATGTTTTGTTTGGACAGCAGTGGCTTCCTCTATGGTACCCTCCCATGAAATCCATTCTTGTTTAGTGTTTAACGTATTGTAGATTCACTAACAGGGATGTTAGCATTTGCCAGTGACTTTTGTAAGTCTTTAGCTGACACTCTAGGATTCTTCTTCACCTCACTGAGCAGTCTGCGAAGTGCTCTTGCAGTCATCTTTACAGGATGGCCACTCCTAGGGAGAGTAGCAGCAGTGCTGAACTTTCTCCATTTATAGACAATTTGTCCGTGGACTGATGAACAGCAAGGCTTTTGGAGATACTTTTATAACCTTTTCCAGCTTTATGCAAGTCAACAATTCTTAATCGTAGGTCTTCTGAGAGCTCTTTTGTGAGAGGCATCATTCACATCAGGCAATGCTTCTTGTGAAAAGCAAGCCCAGAATTGGTGTGTGTTTTTTATAGGGCAGGGCAACTGTAACCAACACCTCCAATCTCATCTCATTGATTGGACTCCAGTTGGCTGACATCTCACTCCAGTTAGCTCTTGGAGATTGTGAAGGATTTTTCATGTATTTGCCTGTGGGCCCTCAGTTAAACCTTCTCCCTGCTGTTTAAATGCCTGTATCCGTTCGGTTCAATATGTATGTACCACTTTAAGAACCAAGGGTATGTGTGTGTAATGCATTGCAGAACATTTTTAAAAAGTTAACAGTTGGCAGTTAATTCC